CTTTGTTTCCCGCTCCCTCAACCTCCTGGCGATCACGGAAACCTGGATCCAGCCCACTGACTCTACCTCCCCTGCTGCACTCTCCTATGGAGGTCTCACCTGGACCCACTCACCCAGACCTAACGGTCGTAAAGGTGGGTGGGGTTGGTCTGCTCCTGTCACCGCGGAGCACCTTCCGAGTCCTCCCAAACCCCCCCCCCTATCCTTCTCCTCCTTCGAGGCCCACTGCGTCCGACTATTCTCCCCAACCCCCCTGAAGATTGCTGTGATATACCGGCCTCCTGGATCCATACCCGCTTCCTGGAAGACTTCTCCTCCTGGCTACCCTTCTTCCTCTCCTCTGAGCTACCCACCATCATTCTTGGGGATTTCAACATCCCTGTCACCTTGACAACCCGGACACAGCCGTCTCCTCCACTTAACCTCCTCCTTTGCACTTGCACAGTGCATACAATCCACCACCCACTCCGACGGTAATATCCTTGATCTTGTCTTCTCCAACCGCTGCGCTCCCCACAACCTCACTAACACCCCCTTCCCTCTCTCTGACCACAACCTGATCACCTTCTCTATCTCCTCGTCCTCCAACAAAAACCCCTCCAAATGTCACACTACTACCAGCCGTAACCTCCGCAACCTTAACCCTGCCCCCCTCCACTCTGCAGCTGATCAACTCCACGACCGCATCCTCCCCCTGTCCTGCCCCGACTTGGCTATGACTGCCTACAACAACGCGCTGTCAGCAGCCCTTGACTCACTAGCGCCTTTAAACACACGCAACATCAGACTCCGACCGCTCCAGCCCTGGCAGACTGATCACACCAAAACCCTCAAACGACGCAGTCGTTGCCCTGGAGCGACTATGGCGCAAAACAAAATCCCAACAAGCTTTCACCTGCTACAAATCTGCCCTTCCGCACCTACACCTCCTCCCTCCACGCAGCCAAACAAGCCTACTTCCTGACCCTCATCAAGGCCCTCTCCTCCAATCCTCGCCGACTCTTCTCCACCTTCAACTCTCTACTCTCTCCACCCCCACCTCCACCCAGCACCTCACTCACCGCCCTTGAGATTGCCAATCACTTCAAAAACAAGATTGACACAATTCGCAAGGACATTGCCGCAACTCACACGCCCTCTAACCCTCCCCTCTCACACAGCTACCCCCTCATCCCCCCCCCCCTCGACATTACCCGCAGGACTTCGTCACTGCTCAAAACTCCCTCCGACCCCGTTCCCCCTCACTCGGCTACCCCCTCATCACCCCCTCCCACGGCCCCACCACTGCTCTGACCTCCACTCCCACCCCACCCTACATTCCTCATACTGAAGCTCCCCCAACACTCCACACCTTTGACCTTACTACCATTGAGGAAGTCTCCAAGATCCTCTCTGATGCCCGCCTCACCACCTGCCCCCCGACCCTATCCCCTCACAATTCCTACGACCTCTCCCCTCCCCCTCCATCCTACGCTCCCTCACCCACATCTTTAATCTCTCCCTCTCCTCCGGCACTTTCCCCTCCCCACTGAAGCATGCACACATCACCCCCATACTTAAAAACAGCCCTCCTGGACCCCAATGACCCGAACAACCTCAGACCCATCTCCCTGCTCCCACTTACATCTAAACTCCTCGAGCGTCTCGTCTACACCCGCCTATGCTCTCACCTCAACGACAACAACCTCCTCGATCCCCTACAGTCTGGCTTCCGCCCCCTACACTCCACCGAAACCGCCTTACTCAAACTCTCCAACGACCTTCTAACCGCCAAAGCTAATGGCCACTATTCAGTGCTCCTACTCCTTGACCTCTCTGCGGCCTTCGACACAGTTGACCACCCCCTCCTCCTCAAAATACTACACTCCCTCGGCATCCTCAGAGATTCTGCTCTCTCCTGGCTCTCATCCTACCTGTCACAACGCTCTTTCAGCGTTACCTATAATGCTACCACCTCCCCCCTCACTCCCCCTCTCTGTTGGGGTCCCTCAAGGCTCTGTCCTTGGGCCCCTTCTCTTCTCCATCTACACTCCTCCCTTGGCCAACTCATACACTCTCACGGCTTCAACTACCACCTCTATGCCGACGACACACAAATCTATCTCTCAACCCCCCACCTCACCCCTTCGGTCTCTGCCCAAATCACACACCTACTGAGCGACATATCAGATTGGATGTCGCTCCACTTCCTTAAACTGAATCTCTCCAAACCGAGCTCCTTGTCTTCCCCCCAGCCCGAACCCCCCCCCCATTGACTTCTACATCACATCCAACAACGTCAATATCAAACCCGCTCTGCAGGCCAGAGTACTTGGTGTCATTCTGGACTCCAACCTATCCTTCCAGCCCCAAGTCCAATCTTTAACAAACTCGTGCAGACTCCACCTCCGCAACATCGCCAAAATCCGCACGTTCCTAACCCCAGAAACCACTAAACAGCTCATCCACTCCCTCATCATATCACGACTCGACTACTGCAACTCCCTCCTCACTGGCCTGCCTCGCCGCTGGCTATCCCCGCTTCAGTTGATCCTGAATACGGCTGCCAGACTCATTCACCTTTCCAACCGCTCCATTTCCGCCACCCCCCTCTGCCAATCCCTCCACTGGCTTCCGATTGCGCAACGGATCAAATTTAAAATCCTAACACTGACGTACAAAGCTGTCCACCATACTGCCCCGAACTACATCACTGACCTAATATCCAAGTACCGCCAGCACGCACACTCCGCTCCTCACAAGACCTCCTTCTTCTCTAGTTCCCTGGTCTCCTCCTCCCATGCCCGCCTCCAGGACTTCTCCAGGGTGTCACCCATCCTCTGGAACTCCCTGCCCCAACCCATCAGATTATCACCTACTCTCCTCTCCTTTAGGCGCACCCTGAAAACCCATCTCTTCAGGGAAGCCTACCTCACCCCCTGCTAACTTGCTGACCTCCTCCACTCTTCCTACCACTCCATCCCCCACAGCTATCTCCTCTGTACCACTATCCCATCCCTTCTAGATTGTAAGCTCGAAAGAGCAGGGCCCTCGATCCCCTCATGTTTTGCATTGTATTGGTATTGTTCTGTCACATGTTCTGTCCCCCTTTGTAATGTACAGCGCTGAGTGAACTATTGGCGCTTTATAAATACTGTATAATAATAATAATAATATATAACATTTCTATATACACAAATATTTTGCCTTTGATTTCTATTTTAACCTGAATGGGTTTGATTGCAAGGCAAGGGTTTATAATAATGTTGATAAATCAATCCCTATGTCATGCCTTTGTAGTCAACTGCCCCTTGTGCATAAGCTGTGTAATCTGAAATAAAAGATGTCACATTTATAAGGACTAAATGTCACAATGTTAAAAAGGACATTTTTTTGGCCCATATATTGCATGAAAAAGAATAAGGATTGACATTGCATCACTGTCGGAGGAACACCCTGTTAGACAAACTATTATACAGTACTAAAAGACACTATGCAGACATATTAAAGTACTGTCCTCCCTTGTATGTATACACGGATTATATGAAAATGGAAATGCACTTATGGCTAGAACTTTGTGGACGCCGACCTGTATGTAAGCTTGTACTTCCATTCAAAAACCAGCTAGTTAAAACTTTACAAGCCTTTATTACATGATAAGCATTTATAGCTCATGGAATCACTTGATATCATAAAAAGAAATCTTATTATCCTGGTACTCATGCCTTTTACCCAGAGACATTTATCCCATCTACGCTATCTATTCGATTTGTGACACGCAAAATGTTGCCATGTGCATTGACCCAACCCGACCAAACAAAGTTTTCATTAAATCAAAACTTTTTGATTTCTGACTGTTTGGTGTGACTGCTGGACATGAGCAAATCTGCTCCAAAAGCAAGTCTCTCAGTCTGATAACCAGTCCTGATCCACTGGTCTGGCACAATTTAACACTCCTCTATTGGCATGATTTAAGATTTTATCTTTTTGTTTGAAGAAAAATTAGTCTGTGGTCAACCCTCTGGCTGAAGAGATGCAGACATATGGAACCTTCTGCCATTCTGACAGTAGCCTATATACTCTTCATTACCAAGTGGGCACTTCAATGTGGGGAATATCTAAATGACAGAAACCCTTTGACCAGGCAGGAATTACAACTAAAATACCTCCAAGGGGACAGACAGGTTACACATAAACAACTCCTCTATTATCCTTATCACAATTTGGTAACCATCCATATTCCCATTGCACATGTTCCTGGAAAAGGTTCTAGAATACTGGGTGCTGAAGCAGCCACCAACTGGAGACTTGCATGGCTTTTCAGAGACATGCAGAACCCCTTCGTCAAGCATGTGATGACTCTGAAATGTTGCACTCTCTTGTTTGTGATGTACTCATACTTCAGTAAAGCAGTTTGGACTCAACTTGAAGATCCATGGTGTGCTGGCGAATATCTACACTGTATCACCACTTGGGGTACTGGAATCACCATGGTGAAGGGGCCCAGGCAGGGGCATAACTACGAATCATGGGGTCCCATACCAAAATTATGAGCCCAATGTCTCTCTTTCTCTCTTCAATCTCCTACCGGTATTATCATTTTTGTTTTTATGATTACTATTATTAAAAAAAGTTTGTAGGGTATCCATGCTTTAAATAGGTGGAAAAGATAACACTGTAAACCTCTACAATGCAGCCCAACCTAAGTCCAGACTTTGCTGGTCATTTGGGTCATCTTTAGTATATTCATTTACACAATTTTTTTTACATCATTAATATGTCTTGCAACACCTGCTTTAAATTTATATGCTTTGCTGGTTGAAAGTAAGGTATCATTTTTTTACTCATATAAAAAGATAAAAAAAAAAGAAAAAAAAAGATTTACATGGACTTGTTTTTTTATTTACACATTTAAGCATTAGTTGATTACACAGGATTTACGTTCTCAAAGTCCAATCTAAAAACAGTACAATTTCTTAAGAAAACAAGCTGGAATACGAAATCTGATGCAAGCCCTATTTTTATTGTGCAGGCTTGGTGGTTCTTGTACTGAAGAATGGCAAATTTATCTCAGCACAACACTCCAGGTGAGGCTGAGGCCTTATTGTGAAACATGGATCTGCATCAAGGACCAAATTACATTCACTTACACCAGGAGGAGCTGAGAATGTAAATTTTTGAAGTAATCCGGTGAAGAATATGAACAGTTCCATTCTTACCAAGCTCTCTCCTACGCACACTCTGCGTCCTGTGAAAAGATCCAATCATTTATGAAGACAATTTTAGTTATTTTTTACTCAATATGGAAATATCTAGGTTTGGTTTCATTGGATTTCAGTGGATTTATGGGAAAATATAAACATGGAGTAACTCTGAGCAGTATAATTTCATCTGTTGTGTATTTGTAGTCAAATTTGACTAAGCAAATTCAAATCTAACTTACAATTAGTATTGCTATGATTATATAGTTAAACATTGATATTCCTTGTCATAATTCATGCTTCAACAACTGTCCAAGGACACTTCTGCCCAGAAGGCAGAAAGATTACAGCCTCAGCCATAACCAACTATAGGAGACAAAGTTCCTGCCTTATCTTGGGCCTCGAAATTCATTTTTCCTTATAGATTGGAGAAGTAATGTAAAGTGTTGGAATGAAGGCAGAAGGCACAACTGAAAGGAACAGGAAAAGAAATGCAAATCTCTAAGTACCAGATTATAAAAGTTACCTATTGAGAATGGCACAAAAGCTTCTTTCTTCACGAACTTTCCCTCTGCATCCAGGAAATGATTGGGATTAAACTGGTATGGTTTCTCCCAGTGGCGCTGGTCATACAGAACAGATGTAAGCAGTGGGATTATAATAGTGCCCTGGTGAATAAATTGAGAAAATGAAACAATTCCATTACACACAGATATGGAATGAAAATTTTTTATATATATATATATATATATATATGAACACGTCACCATTTTTCTCTGTAAATATATTTCTAAAGGTGGCCATACATACAAAGAAACCAAAACAAATAAGTTCAAAAATTAAGTGATGTGTAATAAAATTAAATGACACGGAAAAAGTATTGAACACGCTTACTGAAATGTATTTAATACTTCATACAAAATCCTTTGTTGGTAATGACAGCTTCAAGAGGCATGCTAGTTCTTTCCATAGATTTTCTATTAGATTTAAGTCAGGTAATTGGCTGGGCCATTCTAGCAGCTTTATTTTCTTTCTTTGAAACCAATTGAGGGTTTCCTTGGCTTTGTGTTGGGATCCTTGTCTTGTAAAATGTCAACCCTCGTTTCATCTTCATCATCCTGGTATATGGCAGCAAATTTTTATCAAGCATGTCTTGGTACATTTTTTCATTCATCCGTCCTTCATTGACATGAAGTTTGCCAGTACCGTATGCTGAAGAACAGCCCCACACCATGATGTTCCCACCTCCATGCTTCACTGTTGGTATGGGTGTTTTTGGGGTGACATGCAGTGCCATTTGACCTCCAAACATGGTGTGTATTATGGCATCCAAATAGTTCAATTTCGGTCTCATCTGACCAGACTATATTCTTCCAGTATTTCACAGGCTTGTCTAACTGTTGTGCAGCAAACTTTAAACGAGCTTCAACATGCTTTTTCTTCAGCAATGGAGTCTTGTGAGGAAATCTTGTGAGGAGCACCTGGTCATGGCCAGTTTATGATGAAATGATGTTCTTTCCACTTCCGGATTATGGCCCCAACTGTCCTTCTGTAACCAATGCCATCAATATGTTTTGCAAAAATAAGTCTGTGAAGGTCTGGAGAGAGCTCTTTGCGTTAACCCATCATGAGATGTTTCTTGTGTGACACCTTGGTAATGAGACACCTGTTTATAGGGGTTCAGTTGGGACTGAACCAGCTGCTATTAACTTGCACTGACAAGGGGCAGGATTGCTTTCTAATTACTGATTGATTTCAGCTGGTGTCTTGGCTTTCCATACCTTTTTGCACCTCCCTTTCTTCATGTGTTCAATACTTTTTCCCTTTGTCATTCCATTTTGTTACACATAACTTAATTTCTGAACTTATTTGTTTTGGTTTCTTTGTATGTGGTGACATGTTCAATATGTACTTTAACATCTCTCTCTCTCTCTCTATATATATATATATCCCAGGGAATTAGATGTGGTAGCTATTGCACTGAAGACTCCACCTCCGGGTGATCCCCGACCTCCCTGATCTCATCTTCCCTCCTCCAGCAGCCGGCTGCCTGGGCATCTCTTGGGCAGGCTGTGTGATCGATCAGTGGGAAGAAGAGGTGATCGTGGGATCTGTAATGGAGTTTCATACTTGTATAATTTAAAAGCATCGGTTACAGTTCGGTTATATTTGGGAAGGTTATCCCTTGAAGCCTGTTTGCCAACCATGAGAGTGGGAGGCAACTACCTTTGGTGAGTGCACATCCATGTGGGGGATTTTGTGAAGCACTTAGTTACCAGTCAACAGCACATGGTGAATTTTAAAGAAAAAGGATTAATCTCCATGGATTTTGGATCATTATATTATATATAATTGATTACTTTTGTGTTCACATTAATTCACGGATGCAATATTTTTGATCTATGCACATTGATTTTATTGTACTCACTATATCACTTTATCACTATTAATTTAGCGCCACTATAACACTATATGCGTTGTGTGTTCACTCATTTATTACGGTTTATGTAAAGTGGCAGCTTTTTATTTTTAGATTATATTGTATACATTCAGCGCAATTAAATAGGTGTTGATAATTATCACATTTAGTTTTATTATCACACTGTTTATTATCACACTTATTTATATATATATATATATATATATATATATTTTGTTTTGCTTTTTTGTTTTTGTTTTTTTTAAACAGGAATCTCTTCTATAGTTAAATTAACAAACTTGCGTCTGTACCCATTGGTGGCTATAAATGAATTGGGCAGATATTGTCTCAAGAACAACTAGTAGAGACATCTGTCTCTTATCTGCAGCTCTTGGACTTGCTGCTGTCCATCTCCTGGCTCACCCAATGGATAGAAGCAGTGCGTACACAACAACTGGCTTTCACAGAGGAGAGACTGCAATTTGAAAGCTCAGATAACCTTACATAACTCCACCCTTGCCTGACATCACATCGGATGTTGCATTGAGGACAGGTAGGCATGTACTATTTTTCAATCCTCTCAATAAATCGGTCTATATAGTGCCAAACAATTTACAGTTTATTTACTAACCTGATCTGGATTTCGCAAATATTGCCTAAACTCTCAAAGGGCCCGTAGTTATAAACCAGGAATGGTTCAAAGTGCCCTCTGTATGTCTGCCAGAGCAGCTAATAAACCAATATTATATTCATGCTATTTATATGTCCACTGTAATCCACCCTGCAAGGTAACTGGGTAAAGGAGCACTTTGTGAAGTGAGTTTCTAACAACTGCAGGTACTGTTTTAAGTATGCAGTAAGTACCGTACATAGTTGACCAGACATCAGGCCACTGTACTTTGCTGGTTCCATTGGCTGTTGGGTTTGAACAGAGTTACTGTATGACAGTAATCAGACCTATAGGGAGCAACTTGTGCTGTCTCTAACTGCCCATACACCAGCTTCCCCCGCATTACATTTACTAGTTTATAGTCTTACTACATACTTTTAAAATGGTGCTGACAGGGTCAAGGCATCAAAATGTGACCACGGTCTCTCTTAATATTGTAAAATTGGGGTGAGGTTTGGTCAAATCAGATTATTGTGCATTGATTTAGTAAACCAAGAACATTTTACATTCAAACTTTCAGAACACAGCCTGTCTGCTCAATGGCTGTAGATCTCATTGTAGACTTCATCATGTGCAGGTAGCTGCCCTGCTAGCTAGATACCTATCCAATATTCTATAGGAATGGTTCTTTAGTTCACCTATAACTTACACAGTTCCATACCCTAAAAATACACATCAATACAGCTGCATTATAATGATCTTACTGAGTTATCTTTCCAAGGTAGTTAACCTACTCCTTATCACACCCCCACCATGGCACCAGTCCATTCATTCACAGGTTGGCTTGCTGGCTGTTTTTGAATATGGCTAAATCTATTGGATTGCTTGCCTACCAGTTTCAGCAAGTAGCCCAATCATTATATCAACTAGAAAATACGTGCCTGTTTATGAATGGGGTCAGATTTGTAGTGGTTGCAGGTTATTGATTGTTGTAATTTTGTAAAGTGGATTTTTTAATATTTTTTTTATTTATTTCAGGTACTTATATAGCGCTGTCAATTTACGCAGCGCTTTACATACATATATTGTACATTCACATCAGTCCCTAACCCTCAAGGGGTGTACAATCTAAAGTCCTTAACTCACACTCATACATATACATACTAGGGCCAATTTAAACAGGAGCCAATTAACCTCCCACACTCCATGTCTTTGGAGTGTGGAAGGAAACCGGAGTACCCGAAGGAAACCCATGCAGTCAGAGGGAGAACATGCAAACTCCAGGCAGGTGGTGCCGGGGTTGGGATTTGAACCAGCGACCCTAGTACTGCCAGGCGGAAGTGCTAACCATTAGCCACTGTGCTGCCCCAGCACATATGATATTTATTTATTCTGTGTATGTGTCAAGTTCACTGTGTAGGGCTTAAATGCACTTAGGACTGGGCACTGAGGAATTAGAGTGCATGTGCTGGGGACTGAGAGCTGAGATGTTAATGCACATGCACCGGTGACTGGACATTGAGGAGTTAGGGACTACATTGGGGAGTTGAGGAGTACATTGGGGACTGAATGCTGAGGTGTGTATATACACTAGGTGGGTCCTGAGGGGTTAATACACATATGATGGGATGTTAACTTACAAGCACTGGTGATTGGAAATGAAGGGTCTTTTGCTTTTTATACCATACAGAACTTTACATAATATAGGAAGGATAACTGTGCTGGAGAGGCCAAGGCTGGCATGGATACTGGAAAGTGAGTGCTGGGGTGAGATACAGTGGAAAGACCAATGGATGTGCTGAGGGTAGAATCTTACTGGACTGGATGCAAAATCTCCCATCTGAAAGTGAAAGTGGCACTTAACTTTATTATTATATAGGATAGGATGGTATGGACATCCTAAAGCTTAGCACTTACGATCAGAAAATTGGACGAAAAATACCGCTTTCAAAGTGATCGTACAATAATCTGATTGTTAGTGCACAGCTTTTGTCCGAAAAAAGCACATTTTTCTTGTGCATTATCAGATCGTCCGATTTTCATTTAAACAGTATAGTTTTCATCCAATATAAATACAATACCATACATTACATCACTTCTGAATTGTTATTCTGTCGTATGAGAATTTTTGTCACTCTAGTAACCTCTTCATTTTCGATATTAGACTAGCATACAAAAAAAAAAAACGGACGATCATTCATCCAATATTCTCATCATGTGTACGGGGCTTAAGGAACACATAAAGGGTATTGACTAAAACCATCATAGCTGAACGTGAGAAAGTTCACAATTACTCCTTCACAATTGACTCACCTTGGGGATGTGATAACCTTTGAAGTTGACTTCTGTAGACGCAGCATGGGGGATATGAGGAATAACATTGGCAAACCTCTGGATCTCATGTATCACAGCCAGGGTATATGGCATGGCTTTCCTGTCTTCAAAGGTTGGTGGACGCCCCGATTCCAGAACAGCTTGGATTTCTTTTTGTACTTTTTCTAAAAATACATGTACCTTGAGTTTAGTTGTTGAAGTCAATGCTGTTACTCATTTTATCTGTAGAGAGAGAAGCCTGCATTTTGCTCCTTCCTTGTGGCAGTGGGTAAAAAAAATCAAGGTGTTATCCTTAGAAAATGAATCATTTTCTAGTCTGTGATTTCATGCACAAGCTAAGGAAATGGAGAAATAGTCTGATTAACTGCTCAGTTGATCACATATGTGTTTAATTGCCAGCGCTGCTGTGTTTTCCACACTTACATGAAGCTTTGACAACAACCACACTTAGTATTGGAATTGCCATTGTAATGGGCAGAATCAGTTATTACATCTCTCAGTGACTCCAGAGATGGGATTTCCTGGCAGCATATAGTGCTTCCTTCCTCCCTAATGCCATATCAGAGGTGTCATTTTTTCAGCTGATCTCCCAAATTATTTTCTACATTATGGAAAATCTAACAGGGATCATGGCAACATCCTTTGATTACATAATACCTCTAAACCATAGTAATGGGAATTCTGAGATACTGTATGTTGCTTTTGGACCCCCCGATACACAAAGCCAGAATGTGAGAATGTGACTTTTTATTACATATTTTGAATAACAACTTTCTGATGAATCTGATGAACTTGATTCTAATTTGATGAAATGCAGTAATTTTACATGCTTTTTGCTGAGGTGCATTATTAAAAACTACAAGGAATCAGCAAAGTTGCCCATACCAAGCAGAGGTATTAAGATACAACAGTGACATATCTGCTTTTATTTACAGTAAAATCCAGCCCAAATTAACAAGATAAAATTAACAGCTCATTAAAAGATAAAAATAACTAAACCTTTGCTGAAATGTTGACCTTAAACCCAGAGATTTCACCCATAGTACTTTTTCTTTCACTAGATGTACTAAGTCTGATGGCCAGCATGCATTCAAACCAATTTTTCTGAGCCCAAGCTATCCTGAACCCACCCCAGCCTGTGACTGGACAGTAGAGGGAGAAACATCACAGCGATGCTCATCTCTCTGCCACTCTGATTTCTCCTCCTATCAGCATGCTTCTTGTCAGCACATAGACCAATTGGCTCCTTGTGTTGCTTCTTCCTCTTACATTCCAGCTCTGCTATAGAGGGACTGCAAGTAGATGATACCAGGTTAAACTCAGGTACTAGCATTTCTAAAATAAATTTAATGATGTATTAACGGATACAGAACTTTATTAATTTATGTATTTTATATCTATCTGGAATTCATCTTTAATTATTATTTTAATGTTGCAACGTGTAAAACATTGGTGTTAGTTCCTAGTCTCAAAGCCCCAAATGAAACCCTTCAGGTCTATTAACAGACTTACATATAAAATATTTCTTCTATACAGGCTAATGTCTGGCAGTGGGGTAAGCAAGCCTTGCTAGTGGCTTTGAGCACAGTTAATACAGAGAACACAAAACCTACCTTGTATGTGAGGATATTTCATCATCATTAGTATTCCCCACTGCAGTGTTGTAGCGGTGGTCTCTGTGCCAGCCATCACCAAGTCCAGTGCAGTGGCCAAGATATTATCATCATTGAACAGAGTGTCCTTATTTGTCCTTTCCTGTGAAACAAACCCATGTAAAAATGACATGTTAGACTATGGTGCAATGTCAGCCATAGATGACACAGTTTCATGTAATTGCAATGGAGTCCAGAGTTTCATGGATTCAGTACAATAGTATTAGCATTAAATAGATACTTAGGGAAATACACCTATTATTTAAAACTGATGTGTGTTGGGTGTCAAAGACCACACACTTGCACTATACTAGCTATAGTGGACATTTAGTCTGCTATTGCGGGCAGGTATGCGCTACTGTATGGCCAGCAAGGGTGTGGAGTGTCCTAAAGCTGATCTAGTAAGCATGTTAAGCAGACCTCAGAATTTTAATCCTGTATATTTCCAACCTACAATCTGGGATTGAAATTTGGCCCCACAATTGTATATGGCCAAACAGTCTGCACTGGTGACAGCCCACTGGTTCTCAAAGGTAGAGAGCCATCATTAATATTATTATCGGAGTTAAAATGTATCTGTCAGATATCTGAATAATTACAGGGCTGATGTCTCTGAGCCTCAACTCTGTTCATTGATGACTCCAAGTAGAGGAACTGGTGTCTTAAAACATGGCCAGTGAGGATGTGGAAGAGGTTTACAGATTTATGAACTTGGGGATAATGCTCAACTCAACGACTATATAACTGATCATTGTATAGAGTAGACTGAAGGGGGTTTATTTACTAAAGGTGGAGAGTCCAAAATCAGACTCCCTTCTGCATAGAAACCAATCAGCTTCCAGGTTTCATTGCCAAAGCTTCATTGAACAAGCTGAGGTTAGAAGCTGATTGGTTTCTATGCAGAAGGGAGTCTGATTTTGGACTCTCCAGCTTTAGTAAATAAACCCCAATCTGTCTTGCTACCTAATTCCTTCTGAACTGGATCAGCATGCTTACTCCTGGACACACCAGCAGCCTACATTTTCCCACAATTTTAGCCTTTGCAAATCAGTTATCAACTATCAACTGGTCTACATCTTAAACAATTACTGATCCACTAGGGTAGAGGCAGGTACTAGAAAACAAGTCACAACTGTATAATTCTTGCACACCAAAGTTGTGGCAATTGGAAAAGATTAAGTTGTCTAGGGAAACTGTAATCAAATGTTTATAGTAGATGAAAGGTTTTCAAGGACAACAACAGAAGCAATAAAAATACAGTACAATGCTTGCTAATCACCTCCTTTTTTTATTGTCTTTGCATATATTTCTCTTGTTAAACTTTTATTGTATATGGGCTAGATATGGAGCAAAATGTTTGAATTTATTTGATTCTTTAGACACATAAATTTAGCTCAGACATTTCTGCACACATGTGCACCTTTGGCTGTGCCCAGTACATCAGGGTGTGAACGAACAACAGTGTAAAGTACAACATTTACAGCTTCTGTTGCCTATTTTTCTATTTTTATTTTTGCCTAGAAATGAGTGAATCTTTCTACTTCAACAAGATTCTATTGAACCTAACCTATTTGCGCATAGTAACAGGTTTCCTGGAGGAGATCCAGGAAATGAAGTGAAAACAAAATAGCTGGTGACCATACGGCCTTTGCTATATTGAATCCATATTCCATGCCTGGGTATCGTGTTGGTGTTTCATAAGGAGGGGCCTTAAAATAGTGGTGGGTGCCCAATCTTTTCAAACACTCAAAGGGCACCAGGCTCTCACTCCCATGTGTAGGCACCGGAAATTTTGTGTAACTTGACCAGTGGGTAGGAAAGCTGGACCTCTTACCCATCCATTATACAGAGAGTTACAATGAAAATGATGTAAAAACATTTATTTGAAATAAAAAAAAAATAAACGTGGTTATCACTTTTTTTATTCATAAAAAAATTTAAAGTAATTTTGATGAACAGTCTCTTTCCTTTTATTTCTTATGCTGAATCTCTTCCTATTTAAACAAAGACCCATCCAGAGATAAAGTATGTGCAGCCATTTCAATGTATTAACCAGTTACAAACTAGAATACCTGGCTCTCCTATAATCCTTTTATCTAATGTTCTGTTGTTTTAGTCTAAAAACAAGTTTATCTTGATATCAGCTTTTTGGTCATGTGTTACTTGCCCTTGACCATTGGCCTGCTGCTGATGTACATATTGCCCCCCCCCCTTTAGTTGAATACCAATGCTAGTGGACAGCTCTTAAGTCTAAAGATGGCAGATTGGAAGCTCTAAACTCCATGAAAAGGAATGAACGAGTAACTAATGAACTGTTGCAGCAGATGATGTCAAAGTTCAACTTCCAAAAGCCTTATCTTGGATAGGGTAAAAAAGGAATAGAATATCTACGTGTTTTGCCCACTTTTTAGAGACTTTACCATACTTTCCATCCTGGTGACAGGGGGCAGAGGCACTGGAGGGGACATTTATACAATGGGAATAGAGACTGCAGCAAAAAAACACTTCTAGCATACGGTAGAAAGGCTAGAAGCTTTGAAGTTTTTATCACTGTCTGTGCCCTACTGCTCCCATCTCCCACCTTCCGTTCTTTTCTTATTCTGGATTTTTGTGGATAAATGCAGCAGCAGAACTGAAAGGTAAAGGGGATGCAAGAGCTATTGAAAGTATTCTCAAGACTCTTTCTGTTTTTCTTTTCATGGGTGAACTGTGCACAGGGTTGCCAATCTCCTAAAGTGAAATTTACTGGCATAACACAAATATTTTACTGACAGTACCAAATGTTTACTGGCAGTTCACAAAGCTAGCCAAAATGACCATTTTCAGTGCAAATACCAATGTTTAAGCCACAAACTAGTAGCTAGTGTGATTAGCAATGTGCTGAAAGTATAACAAAAGGCAAAACAAATATTTCTCCTTTAACATGAAGGTCAAGCTAACAAAACCCAGAACAGAGTTCCCCCTTAGAGCCCACAGGGTTCCCCCTTACAGTGCAAGGTGCAATTCTGTGGGCCCCCGACGTAAAAGGCAACACTGTGGGTTCTGATGTAAAGGACACATTTCTGGAGTCTGATGTAAAGAACAGCTCTGAGGGCTCTGATGCAATGGGGAATGCAGCAGACTCTGGTGTAAAGGGACAAATCTGATGTAAGGGGGTCTGGTCACCAGAGCCCCCTCCTCCACTTACACAAGAGTCCACAGAGCTCTCCTTTACATCACAGTCCACAGAGTTCCACTTTACATTAGACTCCAGAGTTCCCTTGACACCACAATCCACAAAGTTCTCCATTGAATGAGAGTTCCCCTTTACAGTGTAAGAGGGAACTCTGCGTACCCAGATGTAAAGGGGAACACTGTGGACCCTGTGCACTTGATACCTAAATACATAGGATGGCAGCTTGGTTGATGTGGTCATCCCAAGTAAATCTCTGTGCTACTGTCTTCAGGCCATTTATTTTGTCATAGTTTTTTAAATTTGAAGTGTTACATGGGTTTGTCACATCAGCAGCATGAATGTAATATATTTCAAACCTGTCTCAAATATAGAAATTCAAAACAACACATAGCTGATTCAAAACAACTTCATGCAGTTATTTCAAATCATGAGACAATGTAAACCTTTCCTAAACAGAATGCCCTAGAAAAATAATATTGCAGCGTTTCTAGGCATGTCTAACAAGAAGAAAAACTTAGCAGCGCTCCAAAACGTTCATACAGAACTATGTCTTTTGATTGGCCTACAAGACCACAAATTCTCTTTGGAAGAGTATCAGTCCATGGCCATGGAAAGATCTGGCCTGACCTGGCCTACCACTCTAATAGAATAAGATGACTAAAGTGAAGAAGATTAATAAAACTGTGATTAATGATGCTAATGAACATAATTACCAATCCTTGCTTGGCAATGAAAGATTCAATAAATGTGTGCAAGCAGTTATAATCCATTGTCTGCCTTTTGGCCTTAATATCAGCTTTCAGCATCATACATATTTCATCAGTCTTTTCCAATATTTTTTTGTGAGTATTCATAAAAGTCCCAAGCGCAGGATACATATTAAATATCTGAAAAAAGAAGTTTGAGATGTAATGAATATCAGGTAATGATTGTTTTTTTGTAGTTTTTTTTACCTATAGATTTATCTAGTTTCATCTAGAGCTTCTTAAAATAGAATTCCGGTTACTGAAACAAATTAAGAATCAAGATATTGAAGATTGAGAAGCTGAACATGCATATAGTACCCACCTTTGCAGGTCCCAGAAACAGACTTTTCAGCAGCCAGCAGATTTAGAACCATATTGATGTCTTATTTATATATGTATACAATCTGTTCAGCTCTAATAGTCTTGGCTCATTTTTTCCTGGTAAAGTGAATCTGTACTACGGGTACGGGGAGTTGTACTAATGGGGGAAATCTGTGCTGAAAGAAGCCGTACTAATATGAGAAGATCAGTACTGGAGGGAAGATCCATGCGGGGGAGGGGGGGAATCTGGGGAGCTGTACTATGGGGAAGTTCTGTACAAGCGCAGGGGAGATCTATACTGATTCTGTGTTACATACTCCTGAACCCTTCATTCTCTGCGTTATGTACTCCTAACCCCTGCACTCTGTGCATTAAGCACTCCTGACCCCTGTGCCCTGGGCATTATACATTCTTGACTTCTGAGCGCTGTGCACTACGCACAATTCACCCCTTTGCACTTTGCGTTATATACTCTTGAACCCTGATCTATTACAGTATGCTGTGGCTGGTGCTGGCCTTCTGGGGAAGCAGTAATAAACCGCACAGTTTTTCTACCTGTTCAAATGCTCATTCCACCTGACAGCTGCTGACAGTGAACCCATAGCAAGATTACTGCAGATTACTGTTCAACTGTCATCCTATCTCTATTGATTTCTTTATAAAGCAGTGTTTTTAGTCAGTAGAGACCCAACCCATAGATTTGCACTGAGAGAGATGACCAGTGAAGCAAAGTCACATTGTTACTAAGCAGAAAAAAACAGCCTGCATATTTTACAAGTGTTCACATTATGCCCC